GGAAGGAAGGAAGGAAGGAAGGAAGGAAGGAAGGAAGGAAGGAAGGAAGGAAGGAAGGAAGGAAGGAAGGAAGGAAGGATCAGTTTGTCCTGCCTTTTCTTTTCCTTTTCCTTAGTTGTTGTTTTTTTAATACACAGATTCACATAAAATTTTGGGGGACCCCAATTTTTTTTCATTACTTAATGGTGCCTGGATTGGACTTGTAAAATTTTAGAGTTTTATTTTCCAACAGGCTGACAGTAGGCCCATGAAGAGTTTGCTATGTGGGCTGTGCTGAGATTCTTTAATGCAGAAAATCAAGTGGGCTTCTTGAAGTTAAGCAGGCTCATGGGTTGTCATCTGGGAACTCTTGTTTATAGTATTATGGGTTCTTGATATAAGAGGTGTGGAATATACTACATTAAATAAATGACCATTTAAGAATGTATAGTTGTGCAGAGAGCTCACCATGAAGTCCTTTGACTGAAATATTACATCTTTTATTTATACCATATCTTTCTACCCAGGCAAGTATTTAGGGCAGCTACTTCAAAAAAAAAGTATAAAAAGTTTTTTAAAAATTAGAATAATAAGTCAGTTTAAAGCCTGTTAGAATGTACAATAATGGTGAAGACACAATGACAATTAAAGCCTCAAGTTCTCAGGGAGGGGATTGTAGTTAGTTCTACAAGTATAGACCTAAATAAAGAGTACCAGGGAGCAGGTTGAGTAGAAATAATGGGAACAAGCCAGTAATCTGATTTGGAATAAAGCAGTTCCATGTTCTCACAGGAGACTCTGCACTCCCATTTTGGGCAAAATAGGACCAAAGCTGTACATTCCTCACCCTGATGTAAGCAGATCTCTGTGCAGAAAACCACAGATCAAAAGAGCTCAAGCTAACAGAAAGAAAATAGTTTTGACAGAGCAATGTGAATGAAACCAGTTACCTAAAGGGTTGATAGCCTTTTGAAACAGGAAGCACACCGGAACTATAAAGTACGATCCCAGATAATGGGGTCACTAGGTTTTTTAAAACTTCAGTAGACTCACCTGTCTAACAGAATAGACCTAGCTTACAGCATATAAATATAAATAAATACGAATTATAAACTTTAGTATAATTTAATGTGCATAAACAGGTGTGCAGAGAAAACAATTTCAAATTATTGAACATGTACAATTTAAAAAATCAGTTTTACTCTCACAAAAAGTTCCACGTTTCTGTTTTTCATAGTTTCTCTGGACCTTTTTTGTTAAGTGTGTAGCTGCTACAGATGTTGGTGTTTCTTTCATCATTGATCTTGATGACTGTTCATGTAACATTAAGATTGAAGCTTATAACAAGCTTCAAACATGTGGTCCTCCAAGACATTTTTTGCAGTCTGCAACAGTATGGGAGCTGAGGGTGCTGCCTAGCAAGACCAGGGTGCTGAGCCATAGATGCTCAGCCTGGGCTACAGAAAGTGCTCTGTGAAGAGGAGCAGCCTACTGGCTTGCTTGAACCCAACCCAACTTCACCTAACCCAGTGAGTCTCCCATTGGCCAGACCATGCAGTTGGCAACCCAGGATCTCTTAGCCTAAGTAGTGCCACCATCCAGGATACTACACGCACACACACACACACACAAAGACAGAGTTGTGCTTGGCTTCAGATAGCTGCTGCTTGTGACATTAGGCTCTCTGGGCAAAGCTAGCAGGGAGGTGGGATTGGTGGCAGAAACCCTGCTGCTGATTGTTCCAATCACAATTAGAGGGTGTTCTGGTGAAATATAAAAGGGTCCTGGAGATGTATGTGATCCTAGGATCACAGATTGTCCATTTTGGGGCTAGTGTACATAAACTGAATGAGTTCTTTGGGTCTTTGTTAAAACTCTCTTACATGTAGAACAGAACAGTTACAGTAAAATGTCTCTCTCATGTAATATGAAATCAAGAGTTACTGTGAAAATTGGGAGTGAGAATTTTTCACCCCTAAAATACCCATTTTCACTTTTATAAAACTTTGCTGAGTAGTGTTGTGGTTATGGTATTGGTTGACATTGATTCCTCTCTCACCAATTCTATTCTAACTCAAGTTGACTAAGTTTCCCCTTGTTAAGATTTGACCTGGATGTTTGGCGAAGCAAAACTATTGATCTCTCTGATTTAGATAACAACACTGGACAATTTGTGTGACAGAGCTGAAGGAAGAGGCCAACAACACATAATAAATAAAATTACACTCCTTGCACATTATTTGTTCCACTTCCAATTCTAGCCCATCTGCTGCCTTTAATTATATATCAGGCAATTTCTAGGTAACAAAAATACCATCTGCCATGTCTGTTACCCCATTGATTTTATGTATCAGTGGTCTGATAAATAAAGATCTGACAGTAATTACTTTTGGCTCAGGCAGGAAGACATATCTCAATGGAATCTGTTTTCTAGAACCTTTCTATTATATTGGTTAAGATCCAATTTTTTTTATGTAGCTTGTGACCAATTCAGCTATTTCTGGATGAGACATAATTGTTTAGTGATTTCAGCTCTGGTTATAACAAACATGTCTTTATAACTTGGAGGAATTTTCTAATCTTAGAGATAGACGGGGGAATGCCTCCAAGTTGATTCTGTTACATTACTTAAAGCAGAAGCAAGTGGCATGTATTGCGTGTGGCCTCCAAACCCCTTTCCTTGTGGTTCCAGAGTCCCTAGGGAGATTACTCTTGAAATTTAGTGAGAAATCTCATGAGAAAACTAACAAAAAGATGTATAATCTGTAAAAATGTACTTCTAAAAGTGTACATATACATTTATAATAAGCAAATAAAAATTCACCCCCAAATCCAAGATCCACTTGAATATTGCCATATCACAGAACTATTGTAACTTTTGGTTGCAAACCCCCTCACCACCACCACCCCAAAATAGGTTACAACGTGTTATCTACGCCAACTCCACTTGAACTGATGTGCCAGTTGTAGGTATTTGGGAGCTGAAAAGCCTTGACAAGTGACTCATGCACCCTCAACACCTTGTATCTAAACTACTGCAACGCGCTCAACACGGAGCTGCTTTTGAAGATGGAAATTCAAGTGTCCTAAGAAGCAGATTTAGCTATGCAACACTAATGCTACATTCACTGAATTGGTTACTGATTTGCCACATACTCAATTCAAAATACTTAAAGTCCTCTATATGTGAATACAGCCTCTGGCTGTACATGATATTTGATCAATTAACACCCAGATTAAGGAAGCCTGATGCTTTTTAGACTCCATTTAAGCTCCAGTTTCGGAGGAAATATGAAATTTCATATTTCAATATATTCAGATTTCAGATAGGAAATATGAAATTTCAGAGGAAATATGAAATATGAAAACTGGCTGGGTGACTTTGAGCCAGTCACTCCCTCTCAGCCCAACTCACCTCACAGGGTGGTGGTTGTGGGGAAAATAGGAGGAGGAAGGAATATTAGGTATGTTTCCCGCCTTGACTTATTTATAAAAATAATAAAGGCAGGATTTTAAAAAATCTAAAAAAAGGGTGAGTGCTATCAGAGGGCATTACATAAAGGCACAAGGCCTGGGAAAATGGGATCCATTTCTCCTCCCTTTCTGATTTTTTCTGTTCTAAAATATATTTTCCTATTAATTTCACCAAGTATTTCCATGGGTTTATAGAAACATGTTAGACCTTTTTCAAATAATTCAAATAATTTTATTAAAGATTACAAATAGTATAAAAACTAATACAGGCTATAACAAATATAAGAATAAAAAAAAGTGTAGAAAAAAAGTTACTTCCCCCTTCATCACGACAAGTGTAAACAATTTTAATAACTTATCAACATCTCTTAAAGTACAACATATACTCTCTTCACCCTATATCTCATTTCTTAACTAAGAACAAAATCCAAAAGTATCATCATTCATTCCTTATCAGCAAAAGTCCAGTAAGGGTTACCAGATATAACTAATTATCTATTTTAACCTTGATCAAATAAGCCAACCCTGTATTCCTTCCCTGAACTTTTAATAATCTTTTTTATTCCCTTCCCATACCTTAATTTCTTTTCAGCTTTTTTTTTTTTTTTTTTGGTCCATTCCCAAAGAATCTTTCAAAACTTTAACAGACCTCATTTGTACATCCAGTAAAAGAAGACTGTCCCTTTTTTTGGTCGCTTCTTAAAAACTCCATGACTTTAACGGACCTCTTGTGTGCATCCAGTAAGAAAAAGTTATCCAAGTTGCTTTTCTGATTTAGTAGTTGTATATCTCCTATGTGCAATGAAATATCAACCAGTTTTGTTTGTATGTCCAGTACATCTTTTTCCATATTCTTCTCATTACGTCACATTTAAATCCACATTCAAATTAATTTCAGACTAATCCAATGTAGCTTGTTCTTCTTTTGTAACTTCATTGACACACCATCTATCATATCAGATAATTTCTTTTTTTTTTTAATAAAATTTTTTATCCTTTACAACAAACACAAAACATACATAAACAAACAAGAACATACAAAGGAATAAAAAAAAACATCTTCCATTTTATACCGTGTGTCAACCAGTTACCAAATCGTTGGTGCC